ACTTGTATTATAGATGTTATCGGTAGTTATCTTTAGGTAATCTTACAAGATATAATGTTGCGACGTCAGATTCATACGAATTTAATATTTTTCGGCTAAATCTATAGAACTTAAATTCTGAATTCCCCAAACGACCTTACAACATAGCATTTCTTTTACACTACCAGTACACATGGTTAAATTCATAATGTAACATATTGGTTCACGTAAATTCAATAAGTTTTGCCTAAACTCTATGTACATGTCAAGAAATCAACTAAATATTTGACCGTAAACTCATATACAATGATATACTTATTAACTCATAAATTTTGAATTTTGAATCTTGAATCTGCCTCTCTCTTGACATAAGAGTTAAACTCATATTCTCATATTATTAATGGAAACATTTTTTTTTTAAGAATATGGTAGCAAAGGTTCATTTATCTTTTGTTCTTGTCCTCTCAATTTCATTTTTCCAAAAATGAATAAATTGCTCTTCTCATTCATTTGTCTCCTTTTGTATAACTATATATCTCCATCTTATTCACTCCCTTTATGCACAGATTTGAGTAAGTTATTTTAATTTTTTTCAAATTTTTTTTTATCAAGATGTCATTTTTATACAAAATTTTGTTTTCTTTTGCTAATTGTTCTTCTTCAATGTGTGATATATGTAGGAGCACCTTTTATTTCAAAAAAGGCTTTGGCTTTTTGTCCATATAATGGAAGAGTATGTTGTGACTCTTCTAAAGATGTGCAATTGCAGAAGGCTTTTGAGGGTATGAAAATATCTGATACAACATGTAGTTCTGCTGTCAAATCAATACTTTGCTCAGTAAGTTTTCTAATTTTGATAACTTATTGCTCGGACTCTTCAAAACTATTGTCGCGCACTACTTGTTTTGAATCCTTCGAGAAAAATTCACTACTTTTGAAGGATCTGGCATTCTTGAAGAGTTCAAACAACATTGCTCATATATGTTAGTGGAAATTGAACATTTTCTTTTTTTTTTTCTCCTTCCTTGAGCGAGGGTCTTTCGGAAACAACCACTCTACCTCACTAAGGTAGGGGTAAGGTCTGCGTACCCCTCACCCTGCACAGACTTCACTCGTGAGACCGCACTGGATATATTGTTGTTGTTAGCTTAATTTGTTCTTTTTCTCATATTCTTGAAGAAAAAACATGAATTTTTACAACTTACATCAAAATAGTTTCATCATCTGATGAACAAGTTTTGTTCTTGTTCTCAAGTTTCTGCAGGACTTTGTTAACTAATCCAACAGATTTCCCTATTTTTTGTTTCAGACTTGTGATCAGTTCTCAGCAGAGTTGTATAAGGTAAAATCAGGGCCAAGACCAGTTCCTGTTCTTTGCAATTCAACTGATGCATCAGCAAACAGTTTTTGTTCATCTGTTTGGGATTCATGCCAAAACATACCAATAACAAATTCTCCTTTTGCACCATCCTTGCAAACCAAAGCAGGAGGGGCAAAAAACTCAAACTCCTCCTTGCTAACAGACTTCTGGCAATCGAAAGCCGATTTCTGTGAAGCATTTGGTGGAAACTCAGATAAAGATTCAATATGTTTCAATGGAGAACAAGTTTCACTCAAGAAAAACGAAACTTTACAGACTCCGAATGGGATGTGTTTTGAGAAGATTGCTGATGGAGCTTACCTCAACATGGTCTCTCATCCTGATGGATCGAACCGAGCATTCTTTTCCAATCAGGCTGGAAAAATTTGGTTAGCAAGTATACCAGATCAAGATTCAGGAGAAAGCATGGGGCTTGATGAATCAAGTCCATTTGCTGATTTGACAGATGAAGTTTATTTAGATGCAAGATATGGGATGATGGGGATGGCTTTTCATCCAAATTTTGCCAAGAATGGCAGGTTTTTTGCATCATATAACTGTGACAAAGCTAAGTCCCCTAGCTGTGCTGGAAGATGTGCTTGTAATTCAGATGTTGGTTGTGATCCTTCTAAGATAAACTCAGATGATAATAAGCAGCCATGCCAATACCATTCTGTTGTTGCAGAGTTCAGTGCTAATGGGACTGCACCAGATCCATCATTGGTTGGTTTTTCACTCAATAGTGTTCTTAAGCAGCTAGATAGCCAACCTTTGTTGGTCTGATTCTTTCTATGGGCTTATTATACCAGCTCTGATACCATGTTGAATTACGTTACCACCTCCATCTTAAAACTTAAGCTGTTAGAATCTAATTCTGCATAGGGGATTAGAAGTTTCTCCAATTCCATTTCAAAAGGTTTCATTGCAAGCACTATATGTTGTCTTGTTTGATTGACATTTCATACATTTTGTAGGCAAAGAAGGTGAAACCATCAGAAGTGAGGAGAATATTTACAATGGGGCTTCCATTCACAGCTAATCATGGAGGACAAATACTCTTTGGCCCTGAAGATGGATATCTCTACTTTATGATGGGAGATGGTGGAAGCAAGGGTGATTCTTTCAATTTTGCTCAAAATAAGAAGTCATTGCTTGGAAAAATAATGAGGGTTGATATTGATAACATACCAAGTGAGCACTTTGATTTAATTGTTTTACAATAATTGACAAACTAAAAGGCCAATTGCCTGTCTTGTACTTTCTTGGGTTATGTCATGAGATACTAAGGTGATTCTTTCAATAGGTCAAGAAGAAATATCAGACCTTGGACATTGGGGAAACTATTCGGTTCCTCGAGATAATCCTTATTCACAAGATAAGGATTTGCAGCCAGAAATTTGGGCGCTTGGACTGAGAGATCCTTGGCGCTGTAGCTTTGATTCAGAAAGGCCTTCTTACTTCATCTGCGCAGATGTTGGCCAGGTTCAATGACAATCTCACTTTCGTTGAGGGCTATAACATCTCTGTTTTTAAGATCATTTCAACAGACATAACATGCTAGCTGATATCTTGACTCTGAGTTTCTGACAATCATTTGAATCATGCAGGATCAGTATGAAGAAGTTGACATCATCACAAAAGGGGGAAACTATGGATGGAGCATGTATGAAGGTCCTCTACGCTTTAAAAATGCTTCAGCTGATGATTTCATGGATCCCATCTTCCCAGTGTTAGGATACCGTCATTCTGATATAAATAAAGAAGTTGGATCTGCAGCCATATCAGGTGGCTATGTTTATCGATCCAAGACTGATCCCTGCATATATGGAAGGTAAATATGAACACCCTTGTTAATATAAGATTGAAGTACATTAGCGAACCAAACTTAACAGAAGGATGGTTGCATTTGCAGTTACCTCTATGGCGATTTGTATGCTAAGAACTTTTGGGCAGCTCAAGAAAATCCATATAACAGTGGGAACTTTACAGCAAGAGGCATTTCTTTCCGTTGTGCTCATGATTCCCCTCTCAATTGCAGCTCAGTTCCCAATAGTCCATTGCCTGCTTTAGGTTACATATTCTCATTTGGACAGGATAACAGGAAGGATACCTATGTTTTAACAAGCACCGGTGTATACAGAGTGGTTCGTCCAAGTCGCTGCAACTACACTTGCTCGATGGAGATAGCAAGGACTGCTGAGAGCCCAAGTCCCTCTGCACCTTCAGATGGTCACGTTGCTAAAGCAGATCTCTGCTCGGTCCTTGTTCTTTACTGTCTGCTGCTTTTGACTAGCTTCATCCTGTAGTTATTGCACCGTAATTATGAGATCAGTGTTATACTAAATACACAAGCTACAGTTTGTGTTGGAGCAACATTATCTTGTCACAGAAGATAGAATGCAACTCTTAAGATGAAAACCATGATCAACCCTAAAAGCTAAACTATTGTCCTTCCTATTTTAAATATCGCGAGACTTCAACCACAGAAGCATATCATATCATATATTTATGCAACATTTTAATTAAGAGTAAAACATTAATAAAAGAATAAAACAACAAAGCTAACTCAAAGCAACATCAATTTCCTCGCCAGAGAATTAACTTAACTTCAGTGGTTAGGTGATTGAAAAATAAACTTGACTAGAACAGGTACTCAATTACGAATGCTTTTTGACTTAAATTTAAAGTTAAATAAATTGCATGATCAACAATTTACCTCTCCTGAAACTGATACCACCAGGTCTATGGCATAATTAGCAAACTGTGTGAGCTAATTGAAAATTTCATACATATCAAGAAATAGTCATTGAATATAATGTAACCTCCTTCAACAGTTTAAACCAGGTTAAACAATCATGCATTCCTTGAACCGCTACTTCCACATATCAAAACAACAGCCTTTCACAAATCTTCTCCTAGTTTCCGGTGCTTTTTGACATTAATTGGTGGTATACTGTAATATACTTCATTGCAGTAGAACTCCAAGTCCACGACACCTGATTCACGAAGAAAGATGAACGTTAGATCAATCACAAGCACTTCTGCAGCTATGAACATCAAATATAGGTAAAAATAATGCGGTGCCTTGGAGTTTCTGTCTTTACATCCTCAACACCAAAGAACCTCCCACCCCACCAAAATAAAAGTATACCACTGCCATGTACAAATTCATTTAAAGTTTTGTACCCTTACCAAAGTAGTTCATATAAAGGTTTGTATGGGAAAAAAAGAGAGTATAGTCTAACGTGTTCTGTTTTCCACTTTATTATAAAGGAGGAAACTTGAATTTGCAATTTTTACCTAGCTTGCATGCTTCTTTCTGATCCAAGCAGGATTGCTTTAAAGGTGATTCATCAGTCCTCCCTTCACCTCCCTGCATCGCATGGTACAAATCTAAGCAAAGCAAAGAAAGCAAAAGTGCACTGAAATGCTAAATTGCAGCATGCATCTAAAACTGTACTCAGCTTTAGATCTTTGAAGAAATGGAAGTGAGTTAAAAATACGCAAATACCTAGTAAACTCGCCTGTCTCAAAATATCATCTGACGACTTACAGAGCAACACAACTTGAACTGACTTGACAGCACGAAAAAGATTAGCATCATTGGGAGCAAGACAACTAGTTTTTTGTTACTAGTTCCAAAAATAGCAACAAGATGACCAGCAACAGGATGCAGAAACATGTCAGACAACCATCATGCATTCCTATTATCAGTCTTGTCTGCAAGACATTTTTCTACTGCTTCATCACAAAGCTCAAGCGCCAAATCAAAGTTCCCTTGTTCATAGTTCATATCCGCAAAGATAGAGTAAAGTTCTTTATCTGCCAATAAACCATATCTTCTCATCTCTTCAAACATTTCTTTCGCCTCAGAATACTTTTTCCTCTTTAAAAACCCTTTGATGAGTGCATGATAAGTCTCTAATGTCGGGGTGAATCCATTCTTGATCATTTCCTTGTGCAAAAACCAAGCCTCTTTCATATTTCTAGCTTTGCAATGTCCTCGTATCAATATGTTGAAGGTATTGGCATTTGGTACAACTCCTTGGCCCAGCATCCCCTTGTAAATTTCTGACGTCATACACATATTATTTCGCACACTATACTGCTTCATAAGAGAATTGTAAGTAGTAGCATTTGGTATTATACCCTTCTCCAACATCCACTTCAACAGTTTATCACCCTCTTCTAGCATCCCTGACATACAAAAGCCATTCATCAGAACGTTGAATGTAACTATTGTGGGTTGGAGTCCTCTGAGCAACATTTGACGTAGTAGTCCATGAGCCTTGCCCATCTCTCCTAATTTACAATAAGCATCCATTAGAGTAGTATACGTAAAAGCATCAGGACAGATCCCTGCAGCTTCCATATCTTCCATCAACTTTACCGCTTGATTCACATCTCCAGCTTTACAAAAACCATTAACAAGTGAGTTGTATGTGTAAATATTCAGTTCAAGACCCTTTCCACACATCTCGTGGAGAAGTTCATTTGCTGTTTCAAGTTCCCCTAGTTTACAGAGCCCATCTACTAGTGTAGTGTAAGTCACAATATTTGGCACAAACTGCATCTGAACCATTTTGTTGTGAAGAGAAAAGGCTGCCTTTATCTCCCCTGCCTTGCAATAACCATCAATAAGTGTTGTATAAATGAATTCGTCAGGTTCTAACCCCCGGCCAAGCATATAATTCAATAACTTATCTGCTTCAGCAATATTTCCAGTTTGACACAGACCAGAAATAAGGGCAGTATATGTTATCAAATCAGGGGTAATGTTAAGACTCTGCATCTCATTGAACAGACTGTATGCAGCACTTATGTTCCCAGTTTTGCAGAAGCCATCTATAAGAGTTGTGTAAACAACATTATCTGGAGTGATTCCCTGGGAAGTCATCTCCCTCAGGATTTTCTCGGCATCATGCACTTTGCCTCTCTTAGACAAAAGAAGAATTATACTGTTAAAAGTAAATGCATTTGGCTTCAATCCTTTTACTTGCATTTCTTCGATGATCTTCATCACTGATTCAAGCTGTCCAGCAGCACAGTATCCATTAATCACAGTGCTGTAACTTACAACATCAGGCATACAGCCCCTCAGCTCCATTTGCAGGAGTAAGTTATGAGCTTCTTTAACTTTCCCTATCCGACAAAGAGAATGGATCACTATATTATGAGATTCATTGTCCCAGCAAACACCCACTTCAGAAAATTCATGAAAGACCTTTAGCATCATTTTGTGCCCCTCAATCTCATGCGAGAGACGTGAAAGGAAAAAGTTACATGAAGAGACAGATAGAACTAAGCCATAGTGCAACATTTTATCAAAAAGTTTTCTTCCATAATCTAGACTTCCTAACTCAACAAGCACTTGGAAGAAAATATCAAAAACAAATGGATTAGAACCCCAATCCTTATAAGTGTATATTAACTTTTCAAGAAACTGGGGGAAGAAAACTGTCACATCTACACTGGGTCTTGCCCAAAAATGATGAATAAGCCTATGTACTGTCTTTGCATCTTTTTGTGCAGTAGCAATATGCACGATAATACAACGTACCTCAATTGACGGGTCCCTCCGTTGACACCACCAATCAAAGAAATCTATAACCAGTTTGTAATCATTCTTTATGGTCATGAGAACCCAAACGATGTGGTCAGGTTTGATTTTTGATTCAAAGGGCTTTAAGACACGCCGAATGTGCTCAGAGTAACGTTGCTTAATAGAAGTCGATACGTGCTGCACAAGTTCAGAGTCTCTAATGGAGGGTTTTTTAGGCGAATAATCTGGAAAAGGTCTCGCAGCAGTTAAAGTTAGGCAAGAAAGCTTTTCAACAGCAGAATTAGTTGAATATGAAAAGAATGACATGTGTTTTGTCACAGAACCCAAGTATCGATGATAAGACAAAACTTGACAATGGTAAGGAAAAACAAAAGCAGAACACCTCCTCATATCTCTTTGAGAGAGCCATTAAAGCTTGCAAATGCCATGGCTCTCCTCCATGTATAAGATCAATTTATAGAAACTTCATCTCTTTGTCACCTGTAAAACAAATAGGATGATCACATTAAACATTGATTATTGTAACTTTTTGTTAAGAAGTCAATTTCTGCAAATGCAACATCAAGAAAATAAGGAAATTGAATAAAGTAAAAAAATCAACCTATCTGATGCTGCTGCTATTGACAACAACAACAACTTAAACAGTGTAACCCCACAAGTGTGGTCTGAATGGAAGAGATAAATCAAGATATTTGTCACATTAGGAGGATGCCAGTGAAGGAGAAGGAACTTGGATTTGCCGGAAAAAGAGATCGACTATAAAGAACCTATAAAAAAATATTGTTTTATCATAAAGAACCTATCTTTGAAACCCAATTCTCAAATTCTCAATCCCAATTACAACAAGAAACAACAAAATACCCACTGTAGTCCCACAAAGTGTTGTCTTGGGAGGATAGAGTGTACACAGACCTTACCCCTACCTCTGAGGTAGAGAGCTGTTTCCGATAGACCTCGGCAAATAAAAAACAGATGGGTGGAAGAAAGTACAAGAAAACATAAGTAGAGAAACTGGAAAGTGGGGGTTTTCTGGTCAGATTTCTTGGTGGAGAAAGTAGTGAAGGTTGGCTGATGCTGTTATTGCCTCACCAATAAATAAACATCCATAACAGAAACAGCTAACTTAAACATTGAACTCACTATTCAACAAAAGGGCTTGCTCAATGCTCGGATAGTAAGCATCCTCCACCTCCAACTCTAAGATTATGAGTTCGAATCACCAAAGAGCATAAAGCTAGGAGCATTAAATTTTATTTTATTTTAAAAAAAAAAAAAACCAATATCCTGTCACACACCCAATTGATATATAAATGCTAATTCTCTTATTCTAAATACAAAATTAACATATTCCATCCATAACAGAGTCTACAAGATAAGCTATTCTCAAACTGTAAGCTAAAAAATTGGAAATTAACTCAAAAAAACATACAAATAGAAGCATCAAATGACAGTTACAAGCTTAATTTATGAATAATCATTCAAAAAGGGTATTAGGGTTCTTACTAACATACCATTCTTCGTCGGAGAAGAAAGCTGGCTGTTGAATCCTCTGGTTATCAATTTGGGCCTCTGAAAATATCCATTTCTTGGCAATTAATGGGCCGAACATATGTTAGAATTAAGAAATTTATGGGCTTAGATTTGACAACCAAGTTACACATTTTGTCGGTCGACTAAAAATAATTATATTCACTAGTCAAATATATTAGAAAAAATATATTATTTTATAATCGGAAAAAACATATATTTTATGTACGGTATATTTATATTAATACATGCAAAAAAATATTTGCTTATTTTGGTGGGTGGTATTATGTAATATTCCTATATTTATTATATCTAAAGCAAACAATACAAATTTCACTAGTTTAGGATTTAATTATTTTTCTTCATTTTAGTTTTCGAAATTAAAGGTACAACATTTCCTTTACCAGATACACTCAGATTCATGTATCTCGAATACTTACGAATCAAATTAGGTGTAATTTGTTTTAGATACATTGTATATATTTAAGGCGTGATTTGCATGTATATGAGATACAATAACTCTCTCGCTCGTCTTTCTCTCTCTTTATATCTCTGATCTCCTAGATATGTACATGATTTGCATATATATGAGATACTTTAACACTCTCGCTCACCTCTCTTCCAATGTCTCTGATATCCCAGATATATGTACTTAGTGTTAAAATTAGTAGTCATTGGCCAATCTCCTCTCTCTCTTTTGGTTACAATAAGAAGTACTAAATAAAATACTTCAAAAATATTTGTACAGATGAATTTCATATTCTTGAACATACTTTTACAAATCAATAAATCTTTTTTATGTTTGTATTTATCGTTTGTCAGATAATCCACACATTGATTTGCCTCTCTCCAAATACGACCAACTATGGCCTAGTTGAATTTTAATAAATATATATTATAACCATTGCATCTCCACGTAACGACAATAACCAAAATATAAGATCTTAATTTTCTGAAAATGTCATTTTTTGTTTTTGTTAGTATCCAAATAATTAAAACTGTTTGAAAAATTTTCATTATACTTTGGTTTCAAACTTTCAATACTGGCTGTGAAGCACTGAAAAAAATAATCAAGGGAATAAAGTTATTAGGTTGTAGATAAGGTATACTCCCCTTCTTCTTTTCTTCCCCTATTTTATATTCCTTCAGTTTTATTTTATGTCGCGATATTTAATTAGACATAATTTTAATTTAAGAAAGAAAGCAAACAAATCATATACTAAAACTATTATTTTTTTTGAATTTTTTATTTTATAAACCATAATATTTATATAATACTTAGAAGTTAGAACTATATCATTAAAGACAGTAATATTTAACAGTCTCCAAATAAATTAAGGTATCATTTTTTTAAAAAACAAACTAAAAAGTAAAGATTGTTATTACTATATTAAAGTGGCTTACTTGCTGGCAAGAGGAGCACCTATATATACTATATAGTATAATAATAGTTGTGTTACATTACAAAAGATAAAAGATGCCTTTTTTCCTTTTTAGTGGAAGCATAATCATTGACATAATTAAACTAATCAAACCAATTATTAGAGTTCTCAAACTACTCAATATTAATTAAATCTACAAGCTATTTCTCCATCACCATGCATTTACAAACTAGTCTTACCTTCAAAAAAAAAAAAAAACATTAGAAGCTTATAATAGATGTCCTTTTACATTTGCAATTTTTGGTGGCACTTAATTAAAACACATGGAAAAAACCATAAAATAAAACTAGAATGAAGGAGACTCAATAAAATATTTTTATGGTATATGAAATTTCCCAGGATCCCACACATGGGAATCAGCCAACTAATAGCATCATTTAGTCAAAGTCATCTAACATTCTTCTCTTTTGTATCAACTTGCACGCACCTCGATTAATTTTATAAATTACTTATTACCTATCACTAGGGATGAACATTTGGTACGATTTGGTATTTTTGAAGTTCATTCAGTAATATCAAATACCGAACTTTAATAGTTCGATCCACTATCATAATCAAACTTCGATTCGGAAATTCCGGTGCTACATGTCCACCTTTACCTCCTATCAGTACAAATATTGGGTAACTAACTCTATCCATCAAAACTTGAAAAAGAAACGACTTAATATTTTTGCTTATACTAAATTTAAACCTGAGACGTCATGATTTTCACCGGGATGACTCAACATGAGGCTCTTTAATATTATGCATTACCAAGTCCAAGAAAAGTTGCAAAGGCAACCTTTAGACCTTACACTTATATTTATATACCACTACTCTTCCACATTTCACTTCCTCCCTCCCTCCCCTGCCTTTCTACATTTTCATAGTCAAACCAAAACATGAACTTCAAAAAATCCTCAACTTTCCTCTCTTGCATCATGTTCATACTTCTTCCTTCACTAATCACATCACAAACTTGTCAAAAATCATGTGGCAATGTACCAATCAAATACCCTTTTGGCACTGGTCCTGGCTGTGGTGATCCGCGATTTCAACCTTATGTTATGTGCAACAACCAACAACTCTCTTTCAAGACACACACCGGGTGTTATCCAGTTACATCCATAGACTACAATTACCAAATCATGTACATTAGTGACCCTTCTATGTCAACATGTGCTTGTACACAACCAAGTAAAGGCTTTAGTCTAGACGCTAACGCGCCTTTTACCTTTCATGATGAAACAGTTTTTGCATTGCTAGATTGTGCAACTGATTCTTCACCAATCTACAAGTCAAATAATGAAGGGACTAATTCAACTTTCCCTATGTGTGACTCTCAGGGTGCACCTGTTTGTAGTCTATTGTATTCTTGTCAAGCCATTAGTAGACTTAATTTACCAATTTCAACTTGTTGTGTTTACACACCTGTTGATCTTGGTCCTGCGTTTGAGATGGATTTAACGAAGCTACAATGTTCATCATACTCTGCTTTATATGGTTTTAGTGGCGAAGAATTGAATCCTCAGGCCTGGAAATATGGGATCGCCTTGAAATACAAGTTCAATTTCAATAATGATTACCCTGATATGTGTGCTAATTGTGAGAAAAGCAATGGTGTTTGTGGATATGGAGGACCTTATAGTTCATTTGTATGTAATTGTCCTAGTGGATTCAACACGACGAACGATTGTTTCCTTGGATCAGCTTGGAGTAACAGTTTCAAAAATGTTCCATGGCACATTGGTATGTACAACTAATTTTTGTGCTTATATGATAATTTAGTTCTATCGTCTTACAAGAAATAGTGTTTTTTCTTGCAGGAGTTGTGTTGATTAACGCGTTGGGATTGTTCATCGTCTTCGTGTTAATGTAGGATGTTACAATCTTGTTGCTTAATGTTTAATTGATTCATGGAGAATCCTTGATCTTCTTGGTTTGTGGTAAAATGTGAAATAATGGTTAAGAAAACAGGGAGGTTAATGCAAGAGGGTGGATTTTCTTTTTTTGATCATTTTGTAAATGTTTTTATTACATTATGCTAAAATGATCAATTCAATTTCTTTAGCTTTGTTTGAATAATTGTTCTCTTTAATTTGTTTCCTCCATTTATTTAACTCAAAAAGAGCAAGATTATATTAATTCTTTGATAGAATGAAAAAGTTCAACATTGAGCAATGAACAATATCCATAGGTTTGTGGCCTTATTCCAATGTGAAAAATGACACTTTTGGCATCTACTTAGTTGTTTTTGGAATACCAAAGTTTGGATCGGCCTTCTATCCCGATGAATAATTAGGCAGGACATGATTCAAACCTACAATCTTCGAAACATGAATTATATATTTGGACAAGAACACCTCCAGAAAGTTATTCACAAAGTGATAGTTTTTAAGACATCTAAATATACTTTTCAAAATAAACAAATCTTAAAAGGTTAACTAAATAGGTTATAAGATTGAGTCACATGTGGAATTGAAACAATTATAAAACACTTCTAGAAGTATTCCCAGGGCCTAAACCTATCTTTGATGATGCCATGTAAAAAACAATTGGCCGTGAAAAAATTAAACCATAAAATATGACTCGTTTAATTAACCCACCCAAATTCAACGCATATAAAAGTTGGATTGATTTAAGCAAAGTACACTAACTAAATTGCCCATGAGGAAACTAATCCAAAAATTTAGATTTTTTTTAATGTAATATGTTATTTATAGTTGTAATAAAGAAGAAGAAAAGTTTAATTTGTTAATTATATTAAATAAATTATTAGGAAAAAGAATATAATGAGAGTTGTCGAATTATGTTATGATTCATTATTTAACTCATCTTGATCCAGACCATCTTTGCCCCAAATCCCAACTTTCCATTAAAAATATGTAATAACTCATTTATTGATTCAATTCATTTTGACCGATATGAATAGCTCGCTTACTAGTTACTACTTTAGCATAGCTATAAAGATAGACTTCTACCTCACTCCAAAACTCCTCTCAAAAGAAACACAACTAAATTTTTATTTTTAAAAAAAAGAACCACATTCATTTATTAAAGACCACATATTTTAAGTGATAATATATTAATATACTCCTAGCATGAAATAGGTCATAATATGTTACACTAGTTAGAAATATAGGGCTATTTTAAGAACTTAGAAGAATCAAATTGGATATATTATTTTATAAAAATAAGATACACAAGTGATAAAAGGAATATGTTCCTTCTTTTGAGCACCCTCCACTTTAAAAGAATCATTTTGTTCACCAATATTCTTTCTTTTTTCTCCAAAAAAAATTCCATGACAATAGTAGGCAAAGCTTTTGGACCTCTAAAATTTTGTTCTTAAATTATTCGAATCCCAAAATTTATGAAAGTTCACTATGCTTTTTGCCTTTAATTTAATGTGTAATTTTTTTAAATAAAAGCTTTAAATGTGGAGATAATCATTCTCTAATTAGAGTAATTAATTTGGACCTAATGACTAATGTTACTTCACTTAGAGACTCCATTGGGTAAAAAATGTACAATTCTTTATTTGTTTGTAATGAAAATGAAAGAGAAATCTTTGGATATTTTATTCAAGGGAGAACTTTCTTGATCGCGTCATTCTTCAACTATGGATTAAGATATGGCTAGAGTCTTTTTGATAGTAGCATATATTATGCTCAAGATCTCTCGAGCCTCGTATTGTACCGCTTTCTATATTCCATTTTAGGAATAAAGTAAGTTTCTTTTTTGGTACGTGGAGTTCTCTTTCATTATTACGATAGGATGAGAGCAATGAGCCTGCCATGAATCTACTTGAATTGATCCCGTTATCAATGAAATCTCATCATCCATACCTAATAACTAACAAAGAGTTACCAACATGGGTTGTTGTGCACTGGTGGGAGTGCTTCACTCTTACCCAGAGGTCTCGGATTCGAGCCCTGGGTATGGAGAAAATCATGTTGGGAGCGTCACCCCCGAATGGGCCCTGCAGAGCGCGATCCAAATTTAGTCGGAGCTCCAATGTGGGCTTCGAACACCGGAAGGGAAACCAAAAAAAACTAACAAAGAGTTGTTGTTTTTTATGCACCAAATTAACCATCACAAGTTCAAGAAAATATATTGATCCACTTGTTTATTAGTCAATTTCTGTTTTTGTTACCTTTTCTAAGAAATTGAATTGCTTTACTTCTTCTTTTTTCCTTTTGATCCTTTTCTAGTAAGAAAACACTAGCATATTTTTATGCTAGCATCTTATCACCCCTCTTTAAGTTTTTTTTTTTTTAAAAAAAAAATGTCAGCATAGCAACATATAGTTGATCATAAGGTGATAATAAAGTACTTTAAAGGATTCCAATCTGGACTAGCTAGATTCTTTATATCTTCATTGTGATAAAAAGCTATATGTATTCTTGGATCATGTTTCTTTAATACTAAATTTCTAGATTTTGTGTTGATGTTAGCAACATGAACTTATATATGTCTTAATTTGACCCTTTATTCGTGTAGTTTCTTCATGAAATCCTTAATAATATAATATTGTATACGATTTATTATTTCTTTCAGAAAAATTTCAAAATAAATAAAATCAGATAAGTTTCCTTTCTGCGCGGTTCGAAGAGCACTAAACTAGAATGAGAGGTTAGTCATCACATAATTGCATGCCAGGGGAGGTCGCTCGATTCGCTGATTGGTTAGACTCGTAATTCACTTCTGACCTGTGTTCAATTTTCCCAATCCTACTGATGTTAATTGTGGATTGGGAATTCTTATTAAGTTACTAGCTTGGCCCATCTTTAATCCATTTCATATATGAGAATCCACATAGGAATTCTTATTAAGTTACTAGAAATGAATTATGAAAATTCTTTTTTGATGAACCCTTACTATTATCCTTTGAGTGCGAATAGGGTAAACACCATTCATGTGCAATAACTTGCAAACATTTATGAAAACTTATAGAGAGAGTTTCATTACTTGAAAAATGGATGACCTATTATCCCTACATGATGTAAACACTTGTAGATGTATTCACAAGTAAGGCATAAAGAGAGTCTTGATAATGTCCAAAAAAGAATAAGTATAGACATTGTCAATAGATTTTGCAAGTATTGTTCACATGCAAAGGCATTTCTTACTAAAATATGCTTTGATATGCTTTACTTGAGCCGAGGGTCTTTCAGAAACCACCTCTCTACATTCACTAGGTAAGGTAAGATCTATGTACACATCACCCTCCCCAGACCCCACTTGGAATTACACGGGACGTGTTCATTTCTTACTGAAATCACATATAGATTTTGAGCAAGAAGGATATCAAAGTACTACATTCATCATATAAAGACCACATAATTTTTGTGATAATTGACATATGGACATGCTATGGGACATGAGATTTGGCCAAATTTTTAAGAACTTGAGGAATCAGAATTAAATTAAAAATAAGATGCACCAAGATCAGAATAAGTTCCCTGTTTCACTCCAAAATTTGGTAACACTCGTCGTCTTTCTCCAATGGAGAAAGGTTAAGTCTTTGTACTTTAATGTGAGGAGATTGTCGTTAGGAACGTGGATAATAGTAAGGATAGATGCTGTATATTGTCTGAACAATGGTGAGGGCGAAAAGAAAGATAGCAGCAATGACAGACAAAATGGCCCAGGGACTTCTGAAGTAGGTGTGAATGAGATTGGCTCTCCATTCATTCCACTGCAGCTTGCAATAGTCACTTACCAGTTTGTGTACTAGATCAAGGCTGCTATCTGGATCCAACGTAATGTCCTTTGATAGTGAATTGAATAGCTTAGCCACAGCTTGATCGCTGCCAATTGCATTCTGGATGATGCCACGAGAGTGTAGCAAGCTAACATCTTTGGCATTGTCAATAATATTATCCATGAAGAAGATGTATGAGGTTACTTCATTTCCTGCACCTACATGCAATCTCTCAAAAGCTATTAAGTTCAAGAACATCGACTCTGTTGCATCATCCACCACAATCAGAGGAAGCTTAAGGATACCACCATGGAAGGAGATGTCCTTGAGGCTTCTAGTTCTACTCATCTTGAACACAATGCCTGCTTCATGGAGCTCCATAGCAGAACGTATTATCTCATCGCCACTACTCTGGTTAGTAACTTTGGGTGCTTTCCTTGAACGAGTCTTGGCCAACGCAGGATCTTCCCAAAGTATGCTCTTTCTGTAGACATCCAATACATGGAAACATTTCCCAAGTCCTTTAGCGCGGCTGTGAGGATTGCAGAAGTCCAGTATGAGCTTATTAATACATTGCTCATCGTCCTGCTGAATGCAATCAAGGAGTAACCCTTCACTCTGTAAGGGGAATTAGATTAGAAAAGGTCACTAATCAATGTTGAAGGGTTAACTAAATAAAAAAGTGTCACGTAAAATAGCTTAAACTTTAAGAGGAGACGTGAGCACGTGTTTAAGAGAGGGAGATAAACACCTTTTCCTCTTGATTTTCAATGGCAAGTAATCTTTCCAAAAGGAGCATAGGTAACTGATTTTCAAGCATCAGCATATCGCGTTTGAGATAAGGCATGAGATGGAGCTTCCCATGATTGCTGAAAATTGGATCATTAGGAGCATAGTCATACTGTTGAGGATGCTGAGATTGATCTATAAGTAGACTATCAGCAGCAGCTGTTCTCAAAATCTCCAGCATGAAACAGCCATCAAGAATCATCAACCGTAAGAAGGCATTGGTATCATTTTGCCATACAGGATCCAGCAAATCATATGCATCTTTCAAATCTTGAGCCACTTGTTGTAAGGAGTCAATATAACATGTTAATGATTTTCCAGATCTCTTGAGGAAGTGGAGAAGAGCTCGGTGCTTATGAACTTCCATCGTCTTGAGATGATCTGTGCCATGATGGTAAGGACCAAAAGACACTACCTGAGGCTTGTAAGCTTTCTTGCTCACATCTGTGACACCAACAGGTACTCTATAAATGGACCGCTTCTTCCAGTGCTCTGCCTCCACAGTTGTAAGATCCTCCACGTGCATCAGCTCATCGTTTACCTTGATCACCCACTCATTTTCCATTTCAAATAGATTCAAGTAATATAG